CCAGGCTCTCACCACCCTCACAGCACAGAAGATCTTCCCCACATCTCATCTCCATCTCCCCTCTTTCAGTGTCGAACCCTTCCCCCTCCTCCTATGGCTCTCCTCCCTGATCCAGAGTCCTTCCCCAGCTGTCCTGGAGCCTCTTTAGGGACTGGAAGGTGCTCTAAGGTCTCCCTTGAGCCTTCTCTTCTCCAGGCTGAACAATCCCAACCCTCTCATCCTGTCCTTATAGGAGTGGTTCTCCAGCCCTCAGAACATCTTTGTGGCCTCCTCTGGGCTCGTTCCAACCGGTCCATGTCCTTAGCCCAAACAGCTTGCCCAAGACCTGTTTCACATCTCCACAGAGTTCCACCTTTGCATCTATGTGTTGGGCACTTTTTTGAGCTGGATTAGCCAGGCTCAGGCATTAGCTGCTTCTGTGGCTTAGCAGAGGCCGGCAGGGGGTGGAGGGTGAGGCAACAAGGGTTGTCCAAGCTGGGAGCGTGGGTGGGTGACAGGCTGAGAAAGACAGCACACCTTGCAATTGTGTATGGTCAACAGAAAAACATGGAGCGGGAAAGGAAAGCCAAAGAGGGTGTGGAAATACTTCCCTGTTCTGCTAAGAAATAACTCAGTTTAGATGCTTGCATTGAGGTAGAAGTCTGTTATCAAAACGAAATTTGTCCTCAGCCAGTTAATGGGAGACTACACAAAGCTGAAGCAAGTTGTCTGCTTTGCTGACACAGAAGTGACGCGTTGCTCATCTCAGAGCTGCTGATCTGATGTTGCTCTGAGCTGTCATCATCTGCCACAGCAACAGCATTTCAATGAAAGGAAGAAGCAACAGGACCAGGAAAGAAAGATTTGTGGCTGGTGGGCAGCCTGACAGCGAGCCCAAAGAAAACAGCCCTCCACAGCTCCAGAGATGAGCAACTGGAGCTACTCATGTTGCCAGGAGGAGCACATCAATGAGCCTCAGGCAGTAGGATGGACCCTGTGCTCCTGACCATCAGGCTGGATGGTCAAAACACACGGGGATGTGTGTTTTCAGGTCGGCCTGAGGTCAATAACCTCTCAGGGCTGTTGAGGACTGCATTGCCTCTGCAGCAAGGACTTTGGGCTTCCCTCTCCCTCTTCAGCCAGAGGAGACAAGTCTTTGCTGCAAAGGTCACTGACGCTGATGAACCTGTTAGGTTCCTTTGGGGTAGGTCATTAAAAAACCATCCAAAATCTGGCTGACCTTTCTGCAAAATTGAAGTATCCCAATGGAGAAAGATAATCCTGCTGTAGGATGAGGATGAAAACTCTGGAGCCCATTGAGTGGGGAGAGGGTCTCTGTCTTGCCAGAGCATCGTTGTCTTCCTGCAGCCAGCACTGGAGCAGGCAGTGAATAACATGGCTCATGAAGGATGCAGTTATTATCTCTGGAGCTTGATAAACCCAGTTTCCAATCTCATAATCTTTGCTGCAGAAATTTTCTCAAAGCTTAGCTAACAAAAGGGTCATCCCTGCCCTTGTAAAAACAAAAGCTGGAGTAGGGTATCTGGACTGGCTTTTAGTCATGGATTCCTCTCTGCTGTGGCAGACATTACTGCCTGGGCAAAAAAGCAAATTTAATCCATGAATCAAATTTTCTTGAAGCATTTTATGGGCAGCGTTTGTCGGTTCCAATGCAAATGTGATCTAGGACCCAGAAAGAGAAGGAGGAAGTGCTAGCGGAGTAATTATTAATAGACATTGCAGACATGAGATCCTGGGTTAGGCTCACCTGTGAACCTGATTCTGGTGTTGGTCACGGTGAGTGGATCTACCTGGTGTACACAAGGTCAACAAGTAGACTTGGAAAGCAGTCTCCACCAAGGCTAAATACAATGAACGGAAGAGGGTAAACTTGAAAATAGATAACTCAGAGGCGAAATGTTGTGTTGTGCACTGTTACTTGTTTGCCAGGGCTTCCTGGGGTCCACCAGTACTGTGCTTGGCAAGGACTGGCTTTTTGTCACGCAAGCTGGTTCAGTTATGCCAGCTGTACAGTTTGATGCCTGCTAATAAGTATAGATTTGCTGAAGTATTCCCCAAAGTCTCTGCTTTGGTGTCAAAATCCTCATCAGCAATTGGATTAGTTGTAGGGAATGAACAATTACAAGGCAGGATGGTGAATTATGTTAAGACAAATTGATGGTGTTTGTTTAATCATATGGTCTCGGTCACATCTTGGTAATATTCTTCCTATGGAGGGATACGTATCATTGCACCAGTCGGTAGCAAGAAAAATACTAAAAAATGCTTGTTTTAATTAACTAGTGCCTAAATAAAATAAGGCCAAATAACTCTCTGTGCCAAACCAAAATATGTTCAGCTTTTACTTTAGGTTATGTTGGCTCTGCTCAGGTCCTGCATGCCTTCCTGCCCAGACATCTGAGACAAAGTTTGCACTTTCTGGACCACAGGGATGTGTATGACCAAGTTCCTTGCAAGGACTCTCTTAGTGTGGGAGGAAGATTTCAGGTCAAAAGCTCTGACAAGACTATCTGTTCACCCTGTGCTCTCTTGTTCATCATGGCTTTGGTATCAAAGGTCCTGCAGATGTTTTGCTAGGTCAGACTAAGGCCTCCCAAAATACAGCAAAAGGCTGGAAATCCTTGGCTAAGGTTGTGCCAGGCATCAAGAGGCGAGAGAGGTGCAGGGGATGGGAGACTGGCTTTTTCTGCTTTACTTACATGCTACAAAATTTGTCCCAATAAACGTGGGGGAATATCACTAAGCTTCATTGTTCTGTGTCCTCCTAAGCCAGTTTTGTCTGAAATGCGACCAAACTGTTGCCTGGTGGCACAGGCTGGTGTGTTTGGGTGTGCAGAAGGATTAGCACTTTAACCTGCTCTAGGACCTTGTCTTGAGGTGCCGTGAGGACCTGGAGGTGTAAAATAGCTCATCCGTGACTTGCCACAGCTGTTTTCCATTGGGAGGACCCATGGCCATTAAGGGTTGAGCAATTCACCATAAGTTGTCCACCAAAGACAGCAGTCAGGAGGTATCTCCCAGTGACTGGGGGAGATCAGTTTGAGCAAAAGACCAGGGCAGCACAGGATCCTCATTTCATCACTCAGCCTTCACCTCTCGGTGGGGTACAGTGAACTGGGACCAAGCCAACGGCAGCAAATATAACTTGCAGTACCGGGGACATGGTGCACAGATGGCTTATGGGTCTGGGTTTACAACTCCATTGTTGGGCAATAGTGGGTCTGATCCCACCTCCTTCTGGTTTTAATTAATAAGGTAGCAAAATAATGCTGTTATCTGGCAGCATGAGAAATTACCACCTTAAGTTCTGCTCCTGGTGGCATTTGTTGCCCACTGCCTCTCTCAGAGGAGCTCTACAGAGGATTAGATTGTATTTAAGAGATGCTGTGTGTAATTACTTATGCACAATTCTGCAAGCCATTCCTTTCTGTTAGGTCTTCTCATGTTGTTTCTCTTGCTGGCATCTGGCCTGCTTTATGCATCTTCCATTTCCATATGTACGTGAACAGAAAGCGGTCAGGGCTCCCTTCAGCTGCTGTGATGGACTGGCCCTACCTGCTGGCAGAAGGGAGCTGTGAGCAGAAGGGGTCTGGGTGAAGAAGGCATCATGGGCATGTCTGGCTTGTGTCTTGGGATGACACTCAGTGTCTCTTGTGATTGTTCCTGGATAAAAAGAAAAAAAGGGGGAGTTTTGAGGGAGATGAGGTGCTCAAAAGACCCTGTAAAAGGAGAGGTGTCCCATCCTGGGGTTTATCCTCAACAAAGAGGCATCTCTGATTGATAGGATGAGACTCAAGTCTCATCCTTCATGTCTGAGCTGCCTCTCACCCTAGCTTAAGAACCAAAAGTTTTGCCATGATGCCTGTAAATGCTCCAGGAATGTGGGAACTAACATGCTAGTTTGGACCAAGGGACCATCCAAGCAAGGATCTCGAGGGAGGTGCAAGCCAGTGCCAGATGTTTTGCAAAAAGCCCCCTGTATGGACACCTTTCACACCTCATTTCTTCCTCCTTCCCACTAGTTCCATGGCTGGTCTCATAGCAGCCCATTGCTGTGTTTCCCACAGCCGCTCTCCCCCTGCATGCACCTCAACAGGATGGGTTATTGAACGCTCTCAGCAAAGACCCATAGTCTTAATACCAGTTCTCAGAGGTGGAAGGTGTGTCATCCATGTCCTGAAGTCAGCAAGAGACACTTTCTTAGAGATTATTTCCTTGCCTGGTTTTAGACAGGCAAAGAAATAAGTTGAATTGCAGGGAAAGTTAGCAAGCTTTGAAAACCTTGGTGAGCTCATGAAAACATGTTTTAGAAAACAGGGGGTTTTTTCCCTTTTTTAAAATTTCAAGGCTTTTTCATCAAGTTTTTTTTTTCCTTTTTTAAAATTTCAAGGTTTTTTCATCGAATTGAAGAATGATTTGGGTTGGAAGAGACCTTTCCAACCCCCCTGCCATGAGCAGGGACATCTTCAACTAGATCAGGTTGCTCAAAACCCCATCAAACCTGACCTTGAATGTTTTGAAGGATGGGGCATCTACCACCTCCCTGGGCAACATGGGCCAGTGTCTCACCATCCTTATCACAAAATATTTCTTCCTTTTATCTAGTCTGGATGTCCCCTCTTTTAGTTTAGAACCAATAGCCCTTGTCCTGTCGCAACAGGCCCTACTAAAATTGTTGTCCTTTTTCTCTTTAAGACAGGCAAACCAAAACAAGCTGAAGCAGTTTGCATCACTATACACTTCATTTTGGAGCCAAAAAGTCACCAGTGTTTTTTGGAGGAGAAAAACTATTAATCAAAATCATCATTTTTTCCATGTAATTCACATTAACTGACCTGTTCTCTTTTGTTTTTCAACCTTTTTGGCAGAGGAGAGAAAGCTGTTTGCCCAGTTCTTGCCCTGGATGGGCAGTCACCAGGCTGGGGCTCCCTGGACGCCTCTGTCCCCCATGACGGCCATGCTCTTCTCTTCCAGGTGCTCCTTTTCAAAGGTCTCAGCATCCCCATGCTACCTCCTGCCGGCACTTCCACCTGGGTCCCCAGCCTCAGCTCTCTGCCGACTTCACCCTGCCTCACGCGGTGCAGCCCCAGCCGGGGCTGACCCCCCACATGGCCCCCGCGCACCAGCACAGTGGTCCCCTGCACCAGCCCCTGGCACCGGTGCCAGCCCTGCCCTTCCAGGACGTGGCCGGACCCTCCTTCCTACCTCAGGCGCTTCACCAGCAATACCTCCTCCAGCAGCAGCTCCTTGAGGCACAGCACCGCCGGCTCATGCCCCATCCCAGGTAAGGGGGTCTTACTCTTCCTGTAGGAACGCTGAGAAGCTACATCAGCCTCGCTTCAGCAAAGTGGTTTCTGCAAAGCCCTGGCAGTAGGTGCTGGTAACGTTGGGTTTTCTTCACAAGTTCTCCTGTGTACCCCTAAGATGCATCCACCAGAAGGTGGTGCAGGGCAGGTTGCACCTACAGGTGTACCTTTCCCACAAGGACCTGTACCGTGCTCATCTAGTATGTCCCAAGATCACCTATTATGAGTAGGATTAGAGCAGTGACAGTCCCCCTGTACTGGGTGCTGATGAGGTCCCACCTCGAGGGCTGTGTCCAATTTTGGGCCCCTCACGACAGGAAAGCCATTGAGGAGCTGGAGTGTGTCTAGAGAAGGGCAATGGAGCTGGTGAAGGGTCTGGAGCACAAGTCTTGTGAGGAGCAGCTGAGGGAGCTGGGGGTGTTCAGCCTGGAGAAAAGGAGGCTGAGGGGAGACCTTCTCGCTCTCCAACCCACTGAAATGAGGGTGTAGCCAGGGGGGGTCAGTCTCTTCCCCCAAGGAACAGGTGATGGGATTAAGAGGAAATGGCCTCAAGTTGCAGCAGGGGATGTTTAGGATGGGTATTGGGAAAAATGTCTTCACTGAGAGGGTTGTCAAGCCTGGAAGAGGCTGCCCAGGGCAGTGGTGGAGTCGCCATCCCTGGAGGTATTTAAAAGCCGGGCAGACGTGGTGCTGAGGGACATAGGTTAGTGGTGGTTTTTATCAGTGTTGGGTTGATGCTTGGACTCTGTGATCTGAAAGGTCCCTTCCAACCTGGACAATTCTATGATTCTATTATGGATTCACAGATTTAACAGAGTTGGAAGGGACCTCTAGAGATCATCTAGTCCAACTCCCCTGCTAAAGCAGGGTTGCACAGAGCACATCACTCAGGACTGCATGCAGGCGGGTCTTGAAAATCTCCAGAGAAGGGGACTCCACAACCTCCCTGTTCCAGTGCTCTGTCACCCTCACCATAAAGAAGTTCTTCCTCATATTTGAGTGGAATTTCCCATGTTCCAGCTTGTGCCCGTTGCCCCTTGTCCTGTCGCTGGAAACCACTGAAGAGTCTGGCTCAATCATCCTGTCGCTGGAAACCACTGAAGAGTCTGGCTCCATCATCCTTCAACCCACCTTTTAGGAACTTGTAAACATAGATGAGGTCTCCCTTCAGTCTTCTCTTCTTGAGGCTGAAGAACCCCAGCTCTTTGAGCCTTTCCTCGTCAGGAGGTGCTCTAATTATTGTAAGACAATCATGGCAATAACACTTTGATGTTGAAGTTAACTTGTCCTGCATGGCAGAGAGAGCAATAGACTACATGCACAAGCTACCTCCTCATAGCTGCTGTTTTAAAACCATGTAAGAGATGGTATCCATGTGTCCCATCAGGTTTTGCACATGAAGAACTTGCTCCTCTGGGTGTAGGTAGGCTTCCCAGATCTATGAGGGAATGATGCCATTGACCTGCAGCGTGTTCAGTCACGGAAAGCAGCCTGAATTCAGACTGGGCTGATGACTGCAGAGATAATTACTATAATTCAGCAGAGGTGGAAATGGATGCCTGGCCTTGTCCTGATTGTGTTTTTTGAGAGAGGGGTTTAGATACCATGTAGGAGAGGAGAGCTTTATTTGGAAACGCATGGATGCTATTTGTGGGTTGGATCAAGAGTCAGAGGATGAGTCTTTGCGATAATGCTTCAGTGGGAAAGAATGCTGCAGACAGAAAGCACTTTCTTTCCATACCCTTCCTGTCTGAAAATTGTGTGTTCTCATCCCTGTTTTGTTTTGCATAAGCTGGATTTTAGGTGGATTTAATGATTAGTTAATAACTGGGTAGCAAATATGTGCGAGGCTGAGGCACTGATGATACAAGTGTTTATCTCTTAGTCATAAGCTGAATTCAAATAAAAGTAGGGAGCACAATTCCACGCAGAAGCTGCTTTGGTAAATGCTGTCAGTGCTCCATTTGCAGGTGGGTTGTGGTGTGGAAACGGGCAGGGAGGCTTTGCCAGGTCTCTGGAGGCACAGCTGCATTGGAGGAGGGTGTCAGAGACCTTACAGGTGTGTGGCACAAGGTCACAGTGATGGGATTCCGGGTCATGCCTTTCAAAAGTGAAGCCTCGGAGCTGTGGCTGCATGAAAAATTTCTTTATCTAGTGGTTCCCTGCTCTGTTTGTTCTAGTGTTTTCCTGCAGATTTACTTTTCCGTGGCTCCACTGGTAAGCAGGGGCTCGGCAGGGAGCAAGGGAGCATGAGCTTGTTCGTGATGCAAACCCTGCTTGTGCATCCACCTCATCTCTCTCCAGATGTCAACGCCCATCAAGCCACCCAGGCGCTTACCCCGAGTAGCACAAATGGGCAATAATCACGAGAAGAAACTCAAATCCCTAGAAAAACCTTGCTGTAATTTCTACTGCTTTCCCTTCCCTGCCCGCAAAGGCAGCGGAGCTGGAGGAGAAGGAGCTGGATGCCAGCCTGGCCTGTCCATCATCCAGAGAAATGTTGGCAAAGGCCAGCGAGAGTAAATTCTGCTTTCAGTTACTCCTGAGTAGTCCTGTTATGAATGAGGTTCCCCAGGAGTTTATGAACTGCACGGGGAGGCGAGACAACCTACAGCTTCTTTATGATGATGGATAACGTCTGAACCAGGGACGTGTTTTATCTCGTGTGTTGTTTATGGGGCCGACAGCAGAGAAAAAGCAAATAGTGCAAATGGCACAAAGCTGCTAAGGAAGAAGTGGTTTGGTTTCCTCTTTTTCTCCCTGTGCTGCCACCAAAGAGCATCTCCTGTAACTTGTGGGTGCTGCAGGGGGTGAGCGGAAGCCTGCCTTATGTCCATGGTGACCATGAGTAAACGACACAGCTCTGGATTCCTCTTCCCATTGTCCCTGACACCTTCCTGGACTCTTCTCTTGGACACATATTCACGAGCCCAACCATTAGGGTTTTCCCCTGGTGTATTAACACAGGCTCGGAGCAGGAGCCATAGGTACCAGTGCCCCCTCCATGGCTAACTCTCCTACTGGTCTCTTCCTCCCCACAGGCGGGCTCAAGAGCGCATGTCCGTTCAGCCTCACCGACTACACCCCAGCTTTGACTTCAGCCACCAACTGCAAACTCCACAACCCATGGGGCCCCAGCCCAGGTACTTAGCCGAAGGCACAGACTGGTAAGTCTTCCTTGTTTCCCTTGTGCATTGAATGAGGCGTTAGAAAGTCCTGGGGGAGTTGCAAGGGTTGATGAACGTCATCGCGTGTCAATGCTTTCATGAAAACTAATGGTGCAGCTCAACAGATACAATGTGCAATGGGTAGGCTGTGGGTGCTTCTAAAGCCTGACAGGCTGAGAGAGTTGGGGTTGTTCAGCCTGGAGAACAGAAGGCTGCAGGGAGACCTTAGGGCCCCTTCCAGTCCCTAAAGAGGCTCCAGAAAACCTGGGGAGGAGTCTTGATCAGGGAGGGGAGCCACAGGATGAGGGAAAATGGTTTTAAACTGAAAGAGGGGAGATTTCGGGTAGATCTCAGGAAGAAGTTCTTTGCTGTCAGGTTGGTGAGACCCTGGCCCAGGCTGCCCTGAGAAGCTGTGGCTGCCCCATCCCTGGAGGGGTTCAAGGCCAGGTTGGAGGGGGCTTGGAGCAACCTGGTCTGGTGGGAGGTGTCCCTGCCCATGGCAGGGGGTTGGAACTGGATGATCTTTAAGGTCCCTTCCAACCCGAACCATTCTATGATCCTATGATTCTTTATGCATGTTTATGATAACATCGAAGCATTGATATAACCCATAACTCTCCATCCATGGATGTAGACTGCAGACTTTAATCTTCCTCCAAGGGCTTTTCCTGCTGCAGGGCACAGCCAGGGTCTTTTTTTCCTGTAGACCAACATTTCTGTCTGAAACTTGATCTTCTGCTGTCCACCAGGCATTCAAAAAAAAGTAACCACAACTTTTTCTGTGGTCTAAATTAGGGAGCACGGTGCGGCCCTTCCCCGCAGGGTGGCGTGAATGAATTGATAGCTGTTAATCATCCTCCCACTGTAGCGTTCGATACCTTGGAAAAGCCGAGCAGAGAATTGATCGTTTCATTTTCAGAGCTGGTTTTGAGCTCTTGCGCAGTTAATAAAGTGCTGGGCCCTACTCGGAGGAGCAAGAAAATAAAAGCGTGCTTCAGAGTAGCTGCCTTTTAGCTGAGCAAAGTCCATTCTGTGCACTGAATGGAAAAAATAGCATGTGAACATGTAATTAGAGACAATCGCAATGTGTATGCACAAGGGGACCGAAATAAAATGTCACAGGAAATCTTAATTATGGCATTTCCTAACATCTGAGCGCTCTGCTCTGCAAACAGAGAGCCCTTTTAACACAGGGGGAATGTGTTCCCCCTCCAGGGTAATAGCATGCAACCTAAGACATGGACAGATCCTTCTGCCATTTTCTTCTCAGGTGTTCCCATTACTGGCACCACCGTAAGCTGAACTTGGCCGGGGTGACATTGTTCAGATCAGTTTGCGAAGTGGTTCACGTACCATCTGGAGAGAGCCATTCTTTCAGCCTCTCTTTCAGCACAGAGTGTTTAATTATAACCATTAGAAGGATCTAATAAAACATCGCTTTTTGTTCCCCTCCTCCTTCCTCCTTCCCCCTCCAACCCCTGCCCTGTGTTGCTCCATCGCCTTATAAAAACCTGAGGAGTGGGGTTGATAGAAATCATACACTGTGTGTGTACACTTGGGTGACTCACTTCCCCTCGGGGCACACGTACAGTTTTGCCCAGTGGCAAGATATAAGAACTTCCCTCTGATGTGTTACTACCCCATGAGCATCAGCGGCGCTGGCTCGGAGGTGGTAGGTGGTGGATACTGTTGTGGGAAACAGGGGTGGAAGGAAGATCTGAAGGTGATCGGTCATCACGGACAACCCAACCTCAAGTAAAGTCTTCTGGTGAAGAAGCAGTAAACTCCCCTTTGGCTCCTTAAATCATCTTCTGCACGTGCTCTTAGCGGCCATCATCCAACCTGTTAGTGGCCTGAAATTAGGGCAGGGGAGGTTTAGATTAGATATCAGTAAGAATTACTTCACTGAGAGGGTGGTCAGGCACTGGAACTGCCTGCTCAGGGTGGTGGTAGAGTTGTCATCCCTGGAGGTATTTAAGAAACATGTAGACGTGGCACTTCTGGGCATGCTCTAGTGCCCAAGGTTGTTGGTTTGTGTCTGTTTGTGGGTTTTTTTGTGGTTTTTTTTCTTGTGTTGTTGGTTTCTTTGGGTTTGTTTTTTTTTTTGTGGTTGGCCTCAATGATCTCAAAGGTCCCTTCCAACCATGAAGATTCTGTGATTCTGTTATCTGGATCCTTATCTTTCACTTTTTGGCTGTTGGAGTCCCCTGTACCATAGGCTCTTGAACCTCACATGTGAGCATTGAGATCCTGTAAAATTGTCTATGTAGCACAGGCTGGAAGGTGATGGTTGTCTTCGGTTTTCTGCAGCTAATGTGCTCTGCTTATTCACTCCTAAACCCTGAGTAAACACCATTTAGTGCAGTGTTCTGCTTTGGGTCCTTATGTAGACCCACAGCATCACTTCAGGAGCCTCAATATCAGATTTTCAGGCTCTAGATGCACTGGTGCACAAACAGTTCTGCAGCGCTGTTATTGCAATTATTCATGCAAGTTAGCAATGGCTTTTCTTCTTCATGAGGTCTCTTCGGTCCTTGATCTCAAAGCACTTTGTGGATCATTGCCTCTGCTTTGTAGACAGGGAATATGGGAAGGCAGGGATGAAATGGTCAAGCTCATGTGGCAGGGCTGGGAATGGACCCAAAGCCTCCTGATTTCCAGCCGAGCCTCCCATCCACCTGGGATCAATCTGCAGCAATTGGATAAATATGCAAAATTGTGATGCGGGACCTGGAAGATGCCCAGTCCTGTGGATTCTCACCCTGGCTGTGTTCCTGCCAGTTGCCTGCTGGGTTTTACCCTCTGCCAGGTTTTGTCCGTCTAGCACATGGCTAGCACTGGACCAGTAAAGACAGTCCCTCACCTCTGCTTCAACAAGGTGTCTTATAAGGGGGGTCCTAGAGGACGGGAGCTGCTGCCTGGTTCACGGACTGTTCTGGGTAAAGGATTCCTGCATTTACTGTCCCCTCACGTCCCTTCTCTGCTGTTGGGCCAAAGCAGTTTCACAGCTGCTGGAGGACATGTCTGGGTTGCTCCTAACCAGCCGTGGCGCTGGCTCCTGCTGTCCCCCTGCGCAGGGATAGGGAAGTTCAGAGCTGGAACGGGAAGCCACCCCTTGTGCTCTAATTAGCTCAGCCTTGGCAAATGTGAAGACAAGGGTTATTAGAGCGCCGGCTCTTGTAATTATGATAAAGTGAAGGACGTTCAAAGCACTTGTTTGCTGAGAGACTCTTCGGTTGGAGAGATGAGGGATGGGCTAATTGGATTACAGATGGAGATGCTGCCATAGGTCTACTCTGGTCCCCTCCACACGGCATGGGGATGGGGTTGCAGTTTGTCTCTGAGTGGTGGATTGGGCAGGGCTGTGGCTTTTGCCAGGATCACGATCACACCAAGTCCTGGGATTGAACTGGGATGTTTATCTGGAGGGACAAAGTGCCCAAATGCACCAGCTCTGCCTAGGTCAGGCTGCCTGCAGGCAAGAGGGACCATCGGGGATGTTCTGCTTCATTGGCATTGGCCTGTTGGCCATGTGACATGGTTTCCTACAGCAGCCCAATTCAGAAATGTCTAAAAACCTTTACATTTTCTGCGCAAAGCAGTTCTGGAATTCCCTGAGGCTGGGAAAGGCAAAAGTACAGACTCCCTTGTCACCCCAAGTCCTACCATGACCTGGGCTGGGAGACCTCCAAGGAGAGCACAGGCACTTCAAGAACCCCCAGATGGTGCCTAGCTGGCTCCTAACAACTACCAGAATGGTTCATCATCATGTCCCCAGGGTAATTTGTAGTATTCCTGCAAAATATTCAGAGCAAAATGTAACTGTTTGCAGTGACGGCAGCATAGGGAGGACCTGGTCTGGCTGGGTAGAGTTATCAAGCCTGGGGATCGATTTGAGCCACCAAAATCCTCTTGCTCTGAAGTTTGCGGGTTGTGTCTCTGCAGCTTTTGACCCCGGCTCGCACAAATGCTAACTGGCATAAGAACAACCCCTCTCTCCTTCATGCCAGCTGGGTGGGAGATTATCCACATTGGAGGAAAATCCCTCCCAAGGAGTAGCATCACCCCAGGTTGAGGGATGGTGTGGGCTGAGGGACCCACACCAGCCTGGAGCCCACCGGTGGTGGAGGTTGCCCTGTGAGCATGATATGACCGGCTGTAAGCCATGCAATGAAAGCCCTGCAGTCAAAAACTTATATATCTCCATCCTCGTGCCCACAGGGACCTCAGTGTGGATGCAGGACTGACTCATGCCCAGTTCCAGGTCCGGCCGGTCCCTCAGCCCTATCAGCATTACTTAGCTACACCTCGGATGCACCATTTCCCCAGAAGCACATCCTCGACACAGATGGTAAGTGAAACGCCTCTACCCAGAAATGTTTTATGCATTGTCTGCCAGAAGGCAGTCAAAATAAAGGCTGCTATCTTTCTATCACCTGTCTTACTGCGAATCCCACTTATCTCCGGCCGTGGGAGGGAGTGTCTGAAAGGATAATGTTGCACTCTGGATTAGAGAAAGGAAAAGAAAAGCTCAGCTGCTGCTCTGGAAGGATTCGGTCCGCCGCTTGCAGCACCACGCTCACAAGCTGGTCTGCAAAACCTGGGCAGAATGTGAGAGACTCAGCAGTCATTGCTAATAATATCGTTAATACCTGGACCAATGGCGGGCTCCCTGCCTGAAGAAGGGTTGGCAGTAAGTGACTCAGCCCTGACGACCATCCTTCATCTCATCGTTGTGCCTCTACCTCAGCCTTGATGCCATCCCTAAAGGTTTTTCCTGACCTTTTGCAGAGGTGGAGATGGGGTTTGAGGAGAAGACAGGCTGAGTGGGACCATTTACCATCCCTTCCCCAGGCAGGGCACTGTGTTTGGAGCAGAGCCATGCAGAGCATGGCTAATCCCTAAAGCATCCTCAGAAAACCTCACCAGGGTGTTTTTTCCCTTTGGCCATAGCTAGACCCTGACACCGGCGTACTACAGCAGGGCTTAAAGTAATCAAAGCTTGGATGAAGAGAAATCCACCCACTTAAAAATAAATAAAATCTCTTTTTAAGCTAATCCATGTCGAGAGTTTGGAACTGTGATGTTATAGCAACAGGAATTACTGTAACAGTTTATTCAGAAAAAGTGCTTGTTTTTAGTTATTGTTTATAGGAGATCTATTTAATAAAATCTTTTTTTTTTTTTTTCTTTTGTTATTGTTAGAAGTCTTCCATGGGGGAAGGTATGAGTGTGCTCTTTCATTTTGAATTTTTAAAGCACTAAATTTGAATCGGGGTACACGAGGGATTTCTATATGCAGGTATACATGTGGCTTTATTTCTCTCCCTCACTTCTCGCAGGTTGTTCACGAAATCAGAAATTACCCTTATCCTCAGCTTCAGCTGCTTGCTCTTCAGGGACTGAACCCAAGCAGGCACACATCCGCTGTGCGGGAGAGCTATGAAGTACGTCTCTCGGGGACTAGAGTTGTTATTAAAATTTTAAGTGCTGTGAATCTACACAAGCTCTAGCATAAACTTTTAAGACTGTTTGGTGGCATGGCAGTTGCACTGAGTCGTGCAGAAATTTGAATAATAATAACTGGGAGGCAAAGGGGTTGAGGGGGTTGGGTAAAGGATGGTTTGCTCCAGGCTGCCTGCATCTGGCTTGGGTTGACTCTGGCTCCCTTCATGTCTGTGAAAGAAGTGCTCCAGTTCTACGGGGTTTTGTTTCCCAGCCTGTCAAACAGAGATCAAATTACACTCTGACTTCTGAAATATTGGATATCCAGCTCTCTGGTCTCTGCCTTGAACCCTTAGTTATTGGTCCAAGAGCCAGGATTTAGGTCCATTATCAAAGCATGAATGCTTTGATGAGGTGGTGAAGCCCTGTAACAGGTTGCCCAGAGAAGCTGTGGCTGCCCCATCCCTGGAGGGGTTCAAGGCTAGCCTGGACGGGCCTTGGAGAAATCTGGTCTGGTGGGAGGTGTCCCTGCCAATGGCAGGGGGTTGGAACTAGATGGTCTTTAAGGTCCCTTCCAACCCAAATCTTTATATGACTTTATGACTTGGTTTTGATGAACATTTCTGCTGAGGAGAGAGCAGGAGGGAACCTTGGTCCCCAGCAGGTAGAGTGGACTGGTGGGACATTGTGCCTCAGGAACAATGTTGATGTTGCTTTGCCATAGGAGCTGCTGCAGCTGGAGGACAGGCTGGGCAGCGTGAGCCGGGGTGCCGTCCAGAACACCATTGAGAGGTTCACCTTCCCCCACAAGTACAAGAAGGTGAGCACCCCAAAACTGCACCATGGCTGTCAGCCCATCTCAGTTGGCCAAGGGTTGTGGGTATGGAGTGGACAGAAGGAAGGACTTTGGTGGGTCGTAGTCCTCAGGGCTGTCCAACTGACACCATCAATATTCCCCAAAATGGGGGAGGAATGTAAAATCCAGAATTGGTGCTGTAATATCTTGTGGGGCTCCTGGGCTGAAGCGGTGGTGTAGCTCAGCTGGCTGTTTCTCACTTCTAGGCTAGGAAGCTGCGGGCCAAATTTTCAAAAGGGTCTCAACCTTCTCCCACCCAGCGGGTGCAATTTCCCCCCTGTCCGCACCTGGTAAGAAAGTGCACACACCAAGGGGGCTTTGTGCATGCAAACCCACCCCATTCTGCATGGAAGCAGCGCTGCCCGCGCACCCTGCCATGAGGGCACTGGCTCCATGGCTTGGGGGAGCTTGTCCTCCCCTCGTTTTGCAAGAGGTGACGCCTCTGTTGGAGCTCATCTCCTGCCTGTAAGGAAATGGGTGCCATTTTTGGGGGTCTTGCTAAATAGAAAATGGGAAAAGTGCTTGTTTGCACAGTAATTTCACATGTTGGTCATTCCCAGCTGGGCAGTAACAAGTAGGGACATGGTATTGCCCAGGTTGGAAGTGAGTCAACTCCTGCTGCGCACGTCCTTTGACTGCATCTCCAGTGGATCCAGAAAAATGATATTAATAGGAATAGATGTGCAAGGGGGAGAGAAAAGAGGAGAGCTGACAGACTAAACACTACCCCACGGAGCAGTGTGGGGCTGGGCCAGTAACCAAGATGCCATGGGGCACAGTGGTTGCCCTTCTTGGCTGTGGTGGCCCCAAGTGCTTTGGGGTCTCTAGGAGAAGCCTCCAGAAAAGGAGACTATCCCCACTGCAAGGAGGATGAAGGAGGTGGTGGGGGGCTGTGTCAGGGCACCAGAAGACAGGCTGTTCCTTGAGACACTACCATCAGCCCCGGAAGGAAGTGGGCCAACCAGCAGCATGTTGGTGGCTACTTTGGCTGGGCTGGTTTCTCCAACCTGGAGGATCTGGCTGATAGATGAAGCTCTTATTATTTGCCTTCCTGCAACTACCCAGGTTTGGGAGAGCACTAGAAAGTCAAGTCCTAACCAAATTATCTCTGTAACCTTGCTGTAGAGAAGACCGCAGGAGGGCAAAGCTGAGCAAGAGGATGGAGAAGAGTCAGACACCGACGAGAAATGCACAATCTGTCTGTCCATGCTTGAAGACGGAGAAGACGTCAGGTATGAGACTTCCATCTCCTCTTCTGCCTCTTGATGCCATCTGAGTTGTGTTTATTGGGATTAATGCCACCGTGTGCTGGTGGGTTTGTCGCTGTTCTTGTCCTGACAAACGCACTTGGGCTGTTGCGGGGTGTGGGAAAACAAATGCCGTTTAGATGGATATTGGTACTGGCTGTGGGTGGGAAGAGCTCTGCAGCAGCAGGAGAGCCAAGTTTTTATAGTATCTCCTGGGTTTGGATCACCTGCTTCAAGGCTGTGCCAACGGGCCAGGTGGCAACTGTCAGAGAAGAATGGGTCCCAGGCCTCAGACAGCCATCTGGAGCTCGGGGACATCAATGTCTGAACTTGACAGATGACCAAAGTATGATAAAATGAGCATGGATGTAAAGTCCAGGGGAGTTTGGCTTATGGCCAGGATGGAACTGCTTTATTGCAGAATAAGTGAGATTACTCCACCAGCACGGTCACATGGAGTCATCCTGAGCCAACAACAAAGCCCCAGTTATCCCTCACAGACGTCCCCAGGCTCTTGGCTGGGTCAAATCTCTGCTTGTGACAGAGGATGGGGACAAACAATTGCAAGGGGCTAAGCTACCATGGCTGAAGGAGCTGCAGGTGGGCAGTGCAGCTGCACCTGGTCCAGTCTTCACCCTTTAATTGCCTTAAACCATTAAAAAAACCCTTTGATCCTCTTTCTGTGGGTCTTTGTGGTTCAGGGTCCCTCTGGCTCGCGAGGGTGAATGAAGAGATGACAAAGATGATGTAGTTGAGAAGCAACCACATTCCCTGGGGCACACCAGACACCCCCCATGGGCACACCATGGGAGCGGTGGGGACCCGCCTGACCTCTAATGAGCTGCAATGATAAAGAACCAAGAGGCTTTAAAGTATAACCCAATACTCCTGAAAGGTTAAAAAGCAGTAGCCAGGGTGATTAATAACTGGAACAACTCAAGTTAGGAGGATGTGGGGTTATTTTAAAATGCTTTTAGCTAAGGAGAAACTGTCTCTGACCTACTGCCCTGTGTGAGCTGGTGTGGCCTGGGAAGGCTGTAGGACCTAGGCAGCATCAGTGTCAGTACATTGGTGCTTTTCCATGTTTGAAGAAGTCCTGGCTGCTGCTTTCTGGTTCTTCTTGGACCCCTGGACCTCCTCCATCCTAAGGGGGTGATGTTTCTCTCTCCACAGGCGGTTGCCCTGTATGCATCTCTTCCACCAAGTGTGCGTGGACCAGTGGCTGGCCACCAGCAAGAAGTGCCCAATCTGCAGGGTGGACATTGAAACACAGCTCGGCTCGGATAGCTGAAAGGACTGGCTGGACACACCATTTTCCTTACCAGGTCGTATGGCCATAAACCCTTGCAGCAAAATTTTTTGCCTTCTGAGCCATTTTGATTGAGAGGAAAAGTCTGCAGGCACGTTAGTGAGGAGGAGGAGGAGGAGGAGGAGGATGAGTTGGCGGTACAATATCTAGTGGTAGGAGATATTGCACATACGCAGGATACGGGCCCGGTGAAAGGGAGCTGGCATTCCCGGAGCTCAGAGACCCCGTGCTGCAGAAGATTTAGTGTTGAACATGAAGGAACTAGTTGTGGTAGTCTGGCCTGTCAATCCTGCATCTCATGAGGATTGTATATATACCTCTCGAATATGTAGAAACATGTTAGGGGTCCTTTAGCTATTTCTATGGATGGCAGCTGGAGCATGTTAGCTTAAGAAATGTTGTGTTTGATGCCCTACTCATCTTGTGGTGGACATGTTGCTGTTACCTAATTTGCACCAAATATTTTTTCATGGATTCCTTATTTTGGTGCCTGATTAATACATTGCAGATGGGGAATAAAAAGGTCAACTTTCCCACCCTCTTTGTTAGGGGGGGGAGGGAAAGAGGCGAAAAAAGCAAAATCCTGTTTACAGTCAGAAGGGTTGCGCTCTTTGCCTCCGCCGCGTGTGCTTCCTTTCCTTGCGTTTACAGTGTGTTGCAAATCTAGAGAAGCTTAAAAAACAAAACAAAAAAACAACAAAAAAAAATAATAATGGGGAATAGAATGAATGAAGCAATAGGGAGAAGCTTCGTTCCTGCTTATCTGCTGGTGCTGGATGCTTTCTGTAGGGGCACAATGTTGGAGTAGATGTTGTTTCTTTGCTTTCCGTACCTTAACGAAGTCTCTTGGCATATCGAAATCCAGGGAAGGGCTGTCTTTGTGGCTGCCACTGTCCGTGATGCTTTCTCCTGTGGGCTGTGAGGCTGGCTGGCATCACCATCCGCTGCCAGCGTTGGTCCAAGATGTTGGTGAGGGGAGTCAGTGCCCATAGCTGTGTTTTGGGGTATAATACCGCCAGAGAGGTGCTGAGGGATGCACGCCACCAACTCCTCTCCTGTGGAAAAACCATCTCTGACAAACAGTGGGGGAGAAAACTCAATGCTCTCAAGGCACTGCTGAGGCTGCGAACATTTCAGCTTGTTTGGGGGAAGGCAGGTTGGAAGGGGGGTTTGCTTCTCTCTGGGTTGTGGCCCTGCCCCAAAGCACGGGCAGCTGCACCCCCCTGGTGTGTGTGTGGATGCACGTGTCAGGCTGTATCCGTGCGGAGGATGGAGCAGTTGTTGGGAGGAAACCTAATTGCATTAACGCTCAAATGGGGATTAGGAGGTAGTTCCCTGAAGGAGAGAGCAGTTGCCATCCAAGCTCCCCCTGAAATAAAGACCTCAGCACACCAACCGTAGGGACCGAGCTGAAGACCCTCTGGAGAACTGGCATTCACAACCAAAAATCTTTTTTTTTTTCTTTCTTTTTCCATTTTTTTAAATACTTCTTTTTTTTTTTTTTTTTTTTTTTTTTTTTATATTAGGAAAAAATCGGTCTCACCCACAAAAAATTTTTTTTTTTTTTTTTTTTTTTCTTTTTTTAAAAATTTTTTTTTTTTTTTTTTTTTTTTTTTTGCATACTAGGAAAGCAAAAGAAAGACACCGAGGAGCAAGGGCAATTAGTCAGGAACATTATATACTGAAAGTGCTGGTGTGGCGGGGATGATTTCTGGCTCCCCTGAGCATCTGTTTGGCTGGAGCCAAGAGGTGCTCTCCAAGTAAGAACAATCATAAATCACCATCGGAGAGACTGCGGGATTCCCGTGAGCTGTAGTTGGAAAATACCTACTTCAGAGACACCCCAGAGATCTTTTTCTTCCCAGATGGAGAAGGGAGAGAAAGAGGGGAGCCCTGCTGGGTGCAAGGGTGCAGGAGCCCCTCTCTTCCTGTGCCCATGCAGGTAGGAGGGAATGGAGGAGGACACATGGTGGCATATCGGGAAGATAGAAGGAGGAAATCTTTTACAGTGAGGGTGGTGAGACACTGGCCCAGGTTGCCCAGAGAGGTGGTAGATGCCCTATCCCTGGAAACATTCAAGGTTGGGTTGGACAGGGCTTTGAGCAACCTGTTCTAATTGAAGATGTTCCTGCTCACGGCAGATGGTTTGGACTAGATAACCTTTAAAGGTCCCTTCCAACCCAAACTATTCTGTGATTTGATGATTTTGTGATATATTTGCCACCCAGAGCAAGTGATGTCTTCTTGGGGGATGTTTTGATCCGAGCCCTGATGTCCACGGGTCAAGGAGTAATCCATCGATGCCTACGGGGCTTGCTCCAGCAGCAGCAGATTGAAGCAGCATTAAAAATAATAAAAATAATACTAACAATACGGACAAGCAAAGCAAGGCTTTGCTGGTAAAATACACTGTAATCTGGTCTGGTCTGTCCAGGCGTGAGCTGGGGATGAAATGGGGAGGAACGGGGTAATTGAGACCCTAGCCCGGCAGGGAGGGGTGGAGGAGCGCTTCCAAACCGCGCGTTTTCTTAAAGCCTATGCGAAAGTATTACTATTTGCCTAACGAACAAGCACAGTTTTTAAAAAAAAAATAAAAAAAAAAGCAAAACAGAACAAAAAAAAAAAAAAAAAACAACCCTTGGTGAAGAAAAGCACCAAACTCCCGTGGTCTCGTGTGAGTGACTGATCCCGAGGTGCGTGCGAATTCACAGCGTCTGGAGTTGCATCGGTGTGTCAGGTTCCTTTGCGTTTAAATAATTTGTACGAGTAGGTTGCGATAATAGGGTGAGTCTAAAAACAAACAAACAAAAAAAAACCCGAAACAAACAACAAAAAGTCTCTAGGAACAAAACATTGATAGTTTACAGGGTTTTGTGAGTTTAAATGCCTTATATTTAACAATCATAATTTATGACTAACTTGTAGATATTGTGGGTTCTTATTTAATTATTTTTATAGTTGTTTTTTGCATTTTTAATTATAATTTATTTATTTAGAAATTAATACTAATTTTTTTTATTACTCCTATTACCTCATTTTTGCATTGTTTCTGGGAATGGAATGCTTTGCATGCATCGGTACTTTAAAAAAAAAAAAAAGATTAAACATGGGATGTGGGGGTAATGCTTATCTTGTCAAAAAAAAAAAAAAAAAAAAAAAAAAAATCAGGGGTTGCTTTCCTTCTCTCTGCAACACCCTTGCTTTTTCAGAAAAAAAAAAAAAAAAAGAGAAAAAAATCAGGGTGTGTGATTACAAACTGTATTACTGTGGTGCTGTTACCTTGGATACATTCCATAAAAATGCAAACCTTTGATTCTGTATGCTGTGACATAGTGGAAAAACTGCAATATAGTGACTGTGTTTAGCACATATATATATGAATATTATTTGCACTCATAATCAAACTCTGGTGATCCTTTCACTTGCGTCCTTGGTGCATTGAAGGCAGTTAAGGGCCCTCTGCCAAAACCAAAACATTTCGGTCGGTTCCTGCCCTGTCCCCGTTGCTGCTGGTGATGCTACTGCTCTTGCTGCATGTGTTACCCTGCAATAACACCCAGCGGGCCCCTGCTACAAGGCTGTGCTTGGGGACAATGCATGTGTTCAGTGCAAGACTCCACAAATTTGCTTCAAAGGCTGAGGAAGGAAGCCCCAGCTGTGGTGGTTCTGGCCAAATTTTGGTGCCTGTCGGTGCTCAGTCTGGCTCTTTTCACCCCCCTCTGTGGGGAGGATGGAGGGACCGATTGAGCCCGAGTTTGAAGGCAACAAAACGAAAGGATTCATTGCAATTTTTAAGGGTTGAGCCCTGGTCTGGATGAGAGGGGCTGGGCTGGATGCCAGAGTGATTTGGCGTCCCTTTGTAACGCCTGGCCACGAGCATTTTCATAACCCAGCTGTGAAGGAAGCCTGGAGCAGAAGACCTCAACACTGGTCTTCTTGATTGGTGGGTTTCATTCCCCCTCTATTAAGGGGGAAACCTCAACTTGGAGCTTTTTTAATCCACTGTGGAACTGAGACCTGCACGGGAGACCTCTTGTCCCCAAGGAGGGGACCAGCCTTGAGCTGGAGTTCCGCTCCTGCAGCGGTGGCCTAGCATCTCCATCCCCATCCCCATCCCCGGCTGTGCCGCTCTCACAACGCACTGCCCTTCCCCAAAAGGCTCCTGAATATCAAGTGCTCAAGCCCCGCAAGGGGGTTAGAGCACCCTTGATAATACTTTAAGCTTTAAGCCATAACCACTCTTGGTCAGCGCAGATGCTTGGCCGTGGATGGACAGAAGTGGGGTTCGACGCATGTGCTCAGCCAGTCCCGTCCCCCCCCCAAACCCA